GCTGGTTATTCACCAGCCCCAGTTCTGCCTCTCTGCACGTGGAGCTCCCTAAGCTGTAAGGAGCTACCCTGCCCCAGTGCAGAGTTTCTGTCTCTCTAGCTATGAATCTTCACCCCCAACTCCAGGACCAGTTCATTCCAGCCATCTCTCCAGTTTATCTCACTCCCAAATTACCATGGGCTTTCCAGGTGGCTTAGTGGTAAGAAAACCACCTAACAATGCAGGAGAAATAAGAGACGTGGGTTCAATTCTTGGTTTGGAAGGTGCCCCTGGAGTAGGAAATGGCCACCCACTCCAGTATTCTTGCCTGGAAAATTCCATGGACAGAAGAGCCTGGTAGGCTACAGTCCATGGGGTCACAAAGAGTCAGACACGACTGAGCACCAGAGGACACACACACATAAATTCCCAAGCAGTTGAAAGTCAGACACAGAATTTGGACATCCGGATGCAATGAATCAGCTTTTGTACTGGAAAAGCTGGACTGGAGCCCTGAGCTGGGATCTGGGGCCACAGTGCAGCCTCTGATGCCCTCAGCTCTCCATTGCTCTCAGGACAAGGGCACAGGAGTTGTTTGGCTCTGCTGAGCAGACTCGCTTGCCAGGAGCCCCAGAAGGCAAGATGGGTCCGAGCCCAGTGTGCTGAGGGCAGAGAGGCAGGAACGCAGTGGAAGAGAACTCTACAGCACCAAAGAGAGATGAGGAGAAGGCCCAGTGGGGCTGAGCATCCTCTGTGGACACCCCCCTCCTCTCATCTCACCTGGAGAGAAGAGGAATTACCTAAAAGGAGTAGGCTGGACCTTTGATCCAAGGGCTGGGTCCTTATGAGAAGAGGCAGAGAGGAACACAGGGAAATCACACGTTGGTGATGGAGGCAGAGATGGGAGTCATGCGTCTACAGGCCAGCAACACCAAGGATGGCGGGCAGCATCAGAAACTATGAAAAAGTCCTAGAATAGAATTTAGATTTTCCCCTGGAGCCTTCAGAGGGATCACGGCACTGCCTACACCTGATTTCAGACTTCTGGCCTCCAGATCTGTGAGAGAATAAATTTTGTCTGTTTGTTTTAAACCCCTGGATATCAATGGTTTGTTATAGCAGCTCCAAAAAACAAAGACCTGCCATGTAGCTCAACATGTCAATGGTCTAAACCCATCTAACAGGTGGCATTAGTGGTAAAGAACCAGACTGCCAATGCAGGAAAGGCAAGAGGTGTGGGCTCAATTCCTAGGTGGGGAAGATCCCTTGGAGGAGAAAATGGCAAGCCATTCCAGTACTCTTGCCCTGGGAAATCCCATGGACAGAGGAGCCTGGCAGGCTACAGTCCATGGGGTTGCAAAAGAGTTGGGCACTACTTAGTGACTAAGCAACAACATTAACTGTGGTGGTGGGAAAATGATAGCAATGGGTACACAATTCATATCCAGGAGACATAGGAATATGATATATCATAACAGTGGTATTTTGAATCAATAGAAAAGGAAAGAGTTGTTCAAAAATTGCCTGGAGAAATCAGTGATTTGGAATTTTGAAATAATTTATACTTCAAACCCCATGTTAAAATAAATTCATGTTGATACATGGCAGAAACCAACACAGTATTGTAAGGCAATTATCCTCCAATTAAAAATAAATAAATTAAAAAAATAAATTCTAGAATGATTCAAAAGTTAAATATGAAAACTCAAAGAAATCCTTATTTCTTGAGATTGAAATGTTAAAAAAAGCAAAGTGAAGTGAAATTCGCTCAGTCATGTCTGACTCTTTGTGACCCCTTGGATTATACAGTCCATGGAATTCTCCAGGCCAGAATAAGAGTGTGGGTAGCCTTTCCCTTCTCCAGTGAAAAAAGGAAAAAAGTAGATAAATTTGATTTTTATACATAAAAATGCTTGTATAAAAATCTGAAATGAAAATGCTTAATTAACAGTTATATCTTCGACAGTGTTGACAAGCAACTAGCTAGTAACTACATTAAAGTCTCATATAAATAATGAAATAACATGAGCACTGGCCACCTGATGTGAAGAGCCAACTCATTAGAAAAGAACCTAATGCTGAGAAAGCTTGAGGGCAGGAGGAGAAGGAGATGACAGAGTATAAGATGGTTGGATGACATCACCGACTCAGTGAATAAGAGTTTGAGCAAAGTCTGGGAGATGGTGAGGGACAGGGAAGCCTGACATGCTGCAGTCCATGGGGTCATAAAGAGTCAGACACGACTTAGCAACTGAACAACGATCTACTGTAGGTAAAGCACAGGAAGAATTTCATGGTGATTATGGAAACGGATCTCTCAGATCTCCAACCATGGGGAGTGTAATTGACCAGAGCTGGCTCTGAAATCCATCATAGCGGTCACACTGAGGCCAGACTGCTCCCAGCCAGGCTCCAGGGCAGCAGGTTACTATCTCTGGGGGTTTGTGGGGCTCCTCTGGGAGACAATGTTGGACCTCATACTCCCCTGGAACATACTGCAGTGGAGCACACCTCCCTGACGCCTTCCTCCCTTCCCTCTCTCCTTCATGTGGGGTCAAACCATCATGTTCCGCACCTCTCCCACCTCCCTCCCAGTTCTTCTCATAGGACAGCACACCTCCCTTACGCCTTCCTCCCTTCCCTCTCTCCTTCACGTGGGGTCAAACCATCATGTTCCCCACCTCTCCCACCTCCCTCCCAGTTCTTCTCATCAGACAGCACACCTCCCTTACGCCTTCCTCCCTTCCCTCTCTCCTTCACGTGGGGTCAAACCATCATGTTCCCCACCTCCCTCCCAGTTCTTCTCATCAGACAGCACACCTCCCTTACGCCTTCCTCTCTTCCCGCTCACCTTCACGGAAGGTCAAACCATCATGTTCCCCACCTCTCCCACCTCCCTCCCAGTTCTTCTCATCGGACAGCACACCTCCCTTACGCCTTCCTCTCTTCCCTCTCTCCTTCACGTGGGGTCAAACCATCATGTTCCCCACCTCTCCCACCTCCCTCCCAGTTCTTCTCATCAGACAGTGCCCTGGAGACTCTCTGGCTAGGTTAATCCTGTGTTGACATCCTCCTCTCAGAAGAAGCATATTAGCAAATGTTTACAAATGACCACTGGTTTAACAGCTTCTAGAAAAAAAAAAGTCTAGCCTCCATCATATTCAAAGACCTCATTCAAGTTGTAATAAGTAAATATCAAGATGAATTTTTTTTCTATTTAACTAGATGGCCCTAAGGAGACCTGTTTCAAGGAGCCAAGCTTATATTGCTGGGTGAAGCACAAAATGATACAGATGTTGCAGAAAAACAATGAGCCCTGTGTACCAAGAATCTTAAAAATGATTATACTTTTGACCCAGGAATTTCATTTTGGAGTCAACTCTTAAGCAATATAAACACTTGTAAGTAGGAACTAAAAATGTTCAACATTGTTTCATTTATCTTAAAGAAAATAAGCAGACATTTAACTTTGTGTTGGCAATAAAATGGGACCTGACTCTAGAATGGTGTTTGGTTCAGCAGTGGTGGGGACAATTTGCTTCCATCTCCCGTCAAGAAAGAACATTCCCTCAAGCCTGAGGACGCAGTAGGTGGGCAGCCTCCAACTGTTTACACCTCAAGGTCAACTCCAGGTTTGAAACTGAGACCAGGCCCTTCCCTGGCTCTGGGGCCTGGGCACATCTGCCTATGAAGAGCTCCCCTAACTGGCCGTCTTTGCTCTGGGGTCCCTTCTGGGTCGCCCAAGAATTTCTCAGGTCTGCATTGCCCTTGAAGCCCCTCCTGCCCAATCCAGCTTCCTCCCCATTCTCTTCCATAAGTGTCAGACCTCCATCACCGTCCAGATGCTTTTCTTCCTCAGTCCTGACTCCCTCTGCTCTGTCCTCCACTGGACGTTTCTGACGGGTGACTTTGGTTCGAGGACTGTCAATTGGCTGGCCAGATCTCAGGTGGGATTGTGCTGCAGCCTCAGACTCTTCCTGCCCACTCCTCTGTGCTTCTCTCTCTCCATCACAGGTGGCAGGCCTGTGGAAACCTAAGGCTCTCCCCGCACCTCCTGCTCACCCCACTCCATCCTCATGGTGCCTCCTCTGCAAACTCTCTCGCACATCCAATCCCATCTTGGCATCTGCTTCTCAAAGGGCCTGAGCTAGCACACTGTCCTTCCAAACAATTTGACTGTCGGGGGAGGCTTTCACTTCCCTTCTCTGCAAGTCAGGGCTCTACGGGGTTTCTGGTTTCCCAAGGGGATGGTGTGTTGCTGGGGCTCCATGAAGTAATATACCAGTGACAGCTGCCTCCAGCAGTCTGTGAACTCTGCATCCAGACATCAGCAGGTAAAGGAGGAGCCACTGTCTCAAGAGTGGGCGGGGGTACCAGCTGCCCAGGGGCCCCCTAGCCATGCAGCTCCTGGTGACATATGAAGACGCCCAGGGAGCAAGCGGTGGACACAGTGGTGGTCTCGGGAAAGCAAGACAGGACTTGCCAGGTGGCTGCAAGCGTGCCTCGGGCTGCCATCCTCCAGCTCGAAGCAACTTCAGATGCCATCTTGGCTTCGAGAAGAGCCTGCATTCCTCCAGGGCTGCCCCAGGCAGTGACAGAGCACCGCAGGTACGAGGACCAGGACGTTTCTGCCCGGTGTGGGGATGCCTGCCGCTCGGCGGCTGAGACCTGGTTGCAGCTGCATCGTGGTCTGAAGGGTCGCCCTGCCCAGTCCCATGTCTTTCCTCTCTCATCTTTCAAGGGTGTTAATTCCCAGTAACCCTCTTGTATTAGTGACTGTGCCAGCAGCTGCTTCTTGAAGCATCCAACCGGCACATTAAATAAAATAAATGAAAGACTGGATGAATAGCTGCCTGGATTAAATTAGCATGCCAAAGACAACACACCGAATAGTAACAGCGTTTGTCTTTGAGAGATTCTTTAGAGGCAATAAGATATTTGCCAAATTTTTCCTGATGGAGAAAACAAACAGCAAACTGTTTTTAAATAATAATAACTAACATTTATTGGCCTGCTATGTATCAGGCACCCAGGCCAATGCAACGCCAGCCCAGGAAAGCAGGTGGCCCCTCATGGTGGCCGCAGAGCACGGCTGTGCCACCCTGGCTCTTGGGAACTTGTGATGGGCTGCTGAAGGCCAAGCCGGTGTCCACCGCCTGCGCAGGACCAGGGCTGAGTGCACAGGCCCCGCCCTCAGGGAGCTTGTTCTCCACGGGGGTGGGGTAGGGGGCAGCCGCCCCACAGGGACACACGGAAAGCACCATTCCTGGCTGTGCAGAGGGACAGTGACCGACTCGGGGGAGGAGCAGACGGGCAGCCCTGACGTGGGGGCGGGTGGGTGGAGAACGGGCACCTGTGACCAGTGCAGGGGAGCAGCAGGGGGCGAGGCGGGCCATGACGGGGGCTGGTCCTATTCTGTCCGTGCTGGGAAACACTATGAACTTTGTGCAGCAAGACAGTGCTTGTGGGGAGCCCACTGCAGGCCTGGGGGAGCAGTGGCCACCCCTACTAGGGGCCAGGGGCTTCCATTCAGTGGATGTGGCTGGTGCAGGGCTCAGATCTGGGGGGCGGGGACATGAAGGAGGGATGCCTAGGGCATCAGTGACTGGGGAGGAGAGACCGGATGGGAGTAGGTGGTAGGGGTGGAGGTGGGGAGTGAATCTCTGAGGAAAAGGGGAGAGGGGAAAGAGGCAAAAGGAAAAGCAGTGGGATTCAGGAACCGTAGGCGTGGGGTCAGCTATGTCTGAGTATTTGCCACCTCATGGACTGTATAGCCTGCCAGGCTCCTCTGTCCATGCGATCCTCCAGGCAAGGACAACTGGAGTGGGTTGCCATTTCCTCCTTCAGGGGATCTTCCCAAAGCGGAGATTGAACCCACGTCTCCTGCATCGGCAGGTGGTTTCTTTACCACTGAGCCACCTGGGAAGCCCTGCAGGGACCAGGCCAGCCTTCAAACAAGGGGAGAGCATTCTAGGGTGATTGTACTCTGTCCTAGTGGGGTGAGACCCTGCTAACAGGAAGAAGGTATAACGCTGAGCTGCAGTCTGTTTATTTACAGAGTCGTAACACGCAGCTTGACTCTCTTCATTCTTCGTATCTCATGATGTAAATCTCCGCCTGTGGGCTGGAATCCAGGAGGCACTGGCCTTCCACCCAAAGCACCTCTCCTGTTCTCCCTGGGCAGAATTCAAAGAGGTGTTCTTTCCTCAATTCCTAGGTCTCAGATAAAAAGGATTGCATATCAGCCTTGCTCTCCCTGCAGCGTGTTTAAGGCTCCTCACAGACCTAGAGAAGATAAACATCCGGGAGGAAGAGTTCATCATGTTGTCAATGAAAATGGAGTCAACCTTGCACGACCCTAATACCTCAAGTGCATCAGTGGCAGAAGGTGGAGCAAAGCCTGTGACACCAGAGTGACAGCGTGGCTCTCACTACCTCCTGTGCGTCTCCTCTGAGGGACACACCAGTGGTCTAATTTGGGGTCTTCTTTCCAAGTGTTATCCTCCCTTCCCGCCAACGCCCCAGGAGTTCTGGCCGTTTCACTCCATAAGCCCTTCCTCCCCATGTTCTGTTCCTTTGGGCTGCTGGTTGCGGCCAGCAGCGCCTTTGGGCACTGGTGCTCATCATTTTGAGTCCTGGATCCCCTTTCACTTTGTCTCATGTCAATGGATGCTTGATCTGCATGGGGGTTCAGTGGCAGGTGCTCAATAGCACAGAAATCCTGGCGACCCCAAGTTACTGGAACCAACTACCCAAGTGGCAGTTCAGTTCAGTCACTCAGTCGTGTCTGACTCTTTGTGGCCCCATGGACTGCAGCAAACCAGGCCTCCCTGTCCATCACCAACTCCTGGAGCTTACTCAAACTCAGGTCCATCGAGTCGGTGATGCCATCCAGCCATCTCACCCTCTGTCGTCCCCTTCTCCTCTCACCTTCAATCCTTCCTAAGTGGCAGGGCTCAGTGCAAAATGAATACACAGGACTTCTTGTTCCAAAATTATTAAGCATCTCAGGAGGGCAAGCACACAGTGTTAAACCAGTGCTGGCCCTTCTGAGCGTGGGGTCTGTTGCAGCTGTGGGGTCACTAGGCCATGCAGCTGGGTCTGCGAGTCGAGTCCTTCAGCAGAGTAAGAAAGCAATAAGACAAGACAGACCAAGATCAAGGCAGATCAAGTCCCCTTGTTTGAGGGAGGGAATAGGCAAGATCAGCTCCAGCTCTGTGTCCTGACTTCAGCTTCTTGGGAAGACCATTTCTGTCAAATTGAAATTCTGGGGACTTCCTTGGTGGGTCCAGTGGTTAAGACTCTGCACTTCCAATGCAGGGGGTGTGGGTTCAATCCCTAGTCAGGGAACTAAGATCCTGCATGCCGTGTGGCAAGGCCAAAAAAACAGAAAGGAATTTCTAGGCTCTAATTACAGCATTTATTTCTGGCATTAGTATTTATGTGCACATGCCCTTTTCAGCAGGAGAGAGAGAAGAGGGGATGAATCCTAGATGGGAATGTTAGTGCAGGAGTTTTTATCTTTATTTCATAACTGAAGTGACTTAGCAGCAGCAGCAGCAGGTCTCTGATCCAGAGCTGACCAGCTGGTGAAATGAATTTGCATTCAGAGCTCGGCTCTTCCATCTCAGCTGCCCTAGTGAAGGCACAGTAGGGAGAGAAGTGAACTGTTTCGAACTGTTGGTGCTAATCCAGCCTAGGATTAAAATCTATTAAACATCTAGCACTGTGCAATAGAAAATCTGGGCTACATCTGAGTCCTTCACTCTGAAATGCCTGAACCCGCGGTGCTGCTTTTCTGTACTAATCCTAACAGTTCTTGCTTCCCAAAAAGCAAATCTATTCTCCCAAAAGGGGCTTAGACTTTGGACAGAAAGAGTCAGAGATGGAGTGGTACCCAAGATCGTGGCTTCTCCTAAAGCCGCCGACTCCCAGTGCAGTGTTCCTTGCTGCCCACTTCCTCACTTTGCTGTGACAGGCATCTGCTGATGGGCGGGCACTTCCAAGGCACTGCCCACTCGGAAATGTCTACCTGGGCAGCCGCATGGCAGAAATGGACCTGGCAAAGCTGCGCACGAGGCTGGTCCCCAAGTAGGATGCTTGCACCCGAAGGTGCTGCTTGCATCTGGTTTCATCTGTCGGCCGTGAAACCCAGGCTCAAGGTAGAGAGAGGAAGCTGGTTGTAATCAAGCATCGCACATTCCTTTGACCACGGTGAGGGCTTGGCGGGGGGTGCAGGCTGTGAAATGTGGATAATGAGGCTCCATCACTATGCTGAGCCAAGTCAAAGGCTGCATGCGATACACCAGCCCAAGAGACATGGAGGCTAGGAGGGCTGGGGCCTCAGGAGGCAGGTCAATGCAGCTCTACCTCACATGCATCCTTCCTCCACGTAAAACACGATCGTCCTGTGATGGGTACCCTCCTTAGGAATGGGGACGGTTTGCAGTTATGAATTGATTTCAGCTCTCCAGGGAACGTTTTTAAAGGGTTATTTGAAATATCAATGAAATAATTTTCAAAAACCTTCATGAGATCTCAGCAGTGACTCTCCCAGTTGTGATGATATGTCCACTCATTAAAAATGCTCATGAAAGGATGTTTTTGTAATGATTTGCCACGATCTGAATCACGTTCTCTCTTCTGCACTTTGATTCAAATGCTTAGGTGGTAGTGTCATGGGAATCAGACTCTCTAATCTGGCTCATAGACAAGATGGGGGCTTGGTTTGCTGTGTCCCTGTCGGCTCAACCTCCCTGTCAAGGCCGGCATTCGTGGGGAAAGAATTCTTAATTCTCAGAAAGTGGCTGGAAAGATAAAAGTTCTATGTTAATGTAGAGAAAACTTATGCCTTCATAATCCTTTTTCATTTTACTGGAGAACCTGGTTAAATCAGCAGGCCTGTCTGTGGGGCACATGAATTCACACCCCAGAAACTGAGGCTGAACTTGGCTTGAAAGGAGGTCAGGACCTTCCAAAATTTCAATCCCCAATTCTGAGCTCTCAATTTCAGGCCAGTTGCAGGTTAATTTGATGAAAGGATTATAAGACAAGACCCATATGAAACATTAGCTGGATTGGGTAGTAAACTGGGATGATAAGAGGGAATAAAAAACTAATCGGAGGTAGCAAAGAGGAGGGTTTGGGCACTTCTAGAAAAGGGAGTTGGTCCAGGGGTCAAAACCCCTAAATCTTGTCCTCTCTGCCACTTTCCTAAACCAATTGCCTAATGACCAAAGGCTGGGTGTTTCTTTCGCTCATGCCTGAAAGAGCAACAGGAACCCCATCTCATCTGACTCATTTCACAGGGTTCTTAAAAGATGCAAGTAAAAACATAGGATTTGAAACTGATTTTAAAAAAGAACAAAATAATTACCAGTATGCTTGGGGACAAGATGGTGAACAATTCTATAACAGGATTAGGAGGGCAGGGAGGGCCGACTATCCAGGGAGACAGGCAGGAGGCTGGGCCCCGGTGGGGAGGACGTCCCAGGCCAGCCAGGAGCACAGAGCTGGCAGGGTGATGGAGGGGAGGAGGCGGCCCTGTTCCCCGTGGAAGTCCCGACGTTCCTGGGATGGCTGGCTCCGAGGGCTGCAGGATGGGCCCAGGATGGTGGCAGCATAGATTCAGGGGAGAGAGAGAAGCAGGAGGAAGCAGGGTCAGGAATTCACTGAGAGCTGTGGCTCTCCCTGACCCGGAAGAGGATCAGACCCAGAAGCAACAGGTGGGGACAATAGTAACATCTGAGTTGATTCACCCAGATGCTGGTAAGGGCACCACTCAGGGCTGAATGCCAGTGCAGATGCTCTTTAAATCTATACGGATGTCCTGGCAGAGAGAACCGACCCCCACCCTGCCCCTTGGGGCCCAGGAGCAGACACTGTGGGAGACGGCTGGGCAGTTTTCCCCAAAGTGAAACAGTCTCAGCACAAAATCCAGCAACTGTGCCCCAAGATATTTACCTGAATGAGGAGAAAATTTGCCCTTCATGAAAACCTGCCCAAGGACATTTGTTTGCTTAGTCGCTCAGTTGTGTCCAGCTCTGATGCCCCGTGGACTGTAGCCTGCCAGGCTCCTCTGTCCATGGGATTCTCCAGGCAAGAGTACTGGGGTGGGTAGCCATTCCCTTCTTCAGGGGATCTTCCCCACCCAGGGATCGAACCCAGGTCTTCTGCATTGCCTGGATACTTATAGTAGCTCCACTCATAACTGCCTGATTTGGATAGCAGCTCATCTATCCTTCAATAGATGAATGGATAAACAAACTGGTACCTCGAGACAATAGAAATCCAGTGAAAAATAAATGAGCTACTGAGCCATGGAAAGACATGGAGGAGACAAATTCATGTTGCTAAATGGTATAAACCAGTTTTTAAAGTCTCCATACTGTATGAT